GGGGGGGGGGCGAGTGCACAAGTCTGGAAATTCAATTATAACCGTGCCCTGGCAGTAATTCCAGTGGTATTAATGGGACGGCAGAGCGAGAGACGAGATGGATAGAGATGAAGAATGAGAGAAGAAGGGGCGGAGAAGAGACAGAAAGTTGAGCAACAAATGGATTCGAGTTAGCAGCGAAACACGGCACGACGTCAGAGCTCGCATCATTTTTTCATGATCTCGAGACACAGCTCCTGCACCGGAGCTGTGTTTATATTTCAAGCAGCACGGGGATAATGACATGTTTTCACTCTCATGGATGCAACGCGTTACCCTCATTACTTGTGAGAGTTCTCATCTTACATGCTCGCCGTACACCTCGACATGCTGCCTCAATCGCGCAGCCCTGATCTCGGTAATGCAGCAACAAGGTAACAGATCAACCCACGTGAATCCCCTGGGAGGGCCAGGTTAGCCTTTGATGATGAATGAAGTGCATAAAGAGTCCTAAGACGCCGGCACCAGTCCTGCCTGTTTGCCTGGTCTTACTGTCAGCTTCAATTTGCTCACATGCAATTAAAAAAATAAAAAAAAACAGCCTCATTCTCATTCATATCATTTGCCACATTAGAAGCATGAATGCTGTGACCGTAAACACACTACTGTACATTGTGTACACGCAAGTTGGACACTCGCAGAATGACTCACAGACACAAACACACATGCAAAATAACCTGCTCATGTTGCAGAACTGCAGAGTCCTGTCTAGACGAGTATTTCTCACCTCCTCCTCTTCTTCTGTCCACCTCGGTATTCTGTTTCAACACTCACGGCAAGACGCAGGCTCGGATATCAGTATGTAAGCAGTGTTTATTGGAGTGTCTGTAATGCTGTTTGGTTTGGTGTACATTTAACGTCTCTAGACTGAGTTTCTCCCAGCAGACAGACTCAGTCAGGGGTTACTGTGTGCCATTTCTTGTTTGTTATTTAAATCTAGTACTGTGCGGGCTAAAAATGGCCTTGTTGGCTTTAATAAAACAAAAATGATGAACACGACCTGTGAGATTAAGGACAGCAGCTTGAAGCCCTCAGAATTTGCTCCAGCCACCCCCGTGTACAAACTCATTAACAGAGTCATAAAGGCAACTAATGAAAATCATGACCGGTATCATTACAAGACCACTGGTGTCCTCTCGCCTTTTCCCTCTGCGAGCGAGAGAATAAAGGCAACTAAATTAATGTTCACACCAATAATGTTACAAAAACACCGCCGTCCTTTAAGTAGCAGCTATTCTCCTCTGCGTGTGCGCAGCCACCTAAATTAAAGTTCAGACCAGTGTTGTTGCATAACCGTTTACACTCCACATCTTTGTCCTTCTGTGTGTTTTTCTCTCACTTTCAGGATGACAACTCCATGTTCTTTCAGTTCGGCCCCTCCATCGAGCAGCAGGCGTCAGTCATTTTGAACATCATGGAGGAATACGACTGGTACATCTTCTCCATTGTCACAACGTACTACCCGGGTTATCAGGACTTTGTCACCAAGGTAACCGTGCAGCTGATACAACGCATACAATCAATCAGGATGAAAGAGATGCAGAACTTATGATGTGGATGTGTTCCCAAAAGCCTAGGCATTTTTAAATATCCAATATCTAAGTTAGATATTAGTCAGAATATTCACTTATACTCCCAAATCTTTGCAATCAGGGATAATAACAATTAAATAATAAAAATAATAATTCAAAAAAAGTCCAAAAATAAATGTAGTTACAAGTAAGATTAAAACATAAATGTACTAACAAACAGACAAAATATATATAATATAATTTTGAATTTGATTTAGACACTTGATTTTAACACATAAAGCACTACAGTTTTACTCACTAAAACCACAAGCAACTGTGTGTTAGCCCTGCGACAGACTGGCGACCTGTTCAGGGTGTACCCCGCCTCTCGCCCTATAACAGCTGGGATAGGCTCCAGCACCCCCGCGACCCTGAAAAGGATAAGTGGAAGCGAATGGATGGATGGATGGATGCTCCAAAAGGCACGGACACGACAAACGCACTTCAGTGTTCAGTGACTCTGATTAGCCTAGCAGTCAGCAATCAGCTACAGAGGCCTGACTTTAAGCCTTAAAAGTTGTTTTTAAAAAAATCACCCTCTGTATAGTTGTCATGAGTAGAAAGATAAATTAAAAGCATTTTGTGTACCAGACTGTAAACACGTGTATTTCAGCTGCAAAGTTTTAACATGGGAGTCTTTGGAGACTGACTTTCTTTTGAAAGCGCTTGAATAACTGCATGACTGTATTTTTCAGTCCCAGGGGTTTTCAGGTGCTTTGTAACACAAACTGTATGATGCTGATTAGAGATGCGTTTTATAAACATTTAGTAATTTGTATAAACCCAAATGCCTGATCTGTGAAGTGAAGTGCTAAGTAAAAGAAATTCCAATTCAATCTAGTGATGTATCCACTTTGTTTTTAATAAACTGCTTCACCTTGGAACAATAAACTAAAATGCAAGTCAAACACACATTGAAACACACTGTTGACAAAAATAATAGGGTTTGAATTTTTTTTGTCTTGTTAAAGACTAAAGCAAAGTACATTGTGGTAATCAGCCCCTTCTACCCACTGCAGATTCGTAGTACCATCGAGAACAGCTTTGTGGGCTGGGAATTAGAGGAAGTTCTACTACTTGACATGTCTGTGGACGACGGCGATTCGAAGATTCAGAACCAGCTGAAGAAACTCCAGAGCCCTGTTATTCTTCTCTATTGCACAAAAGAAGAGGCCAACACTATCTTTGAGGTGGCCCACTCTGTTGGAATCACGGGCTATGGCTACACGTGGATCGTGCCCTCGCTGGTTGCTGGAGATACTGTTGTAGTGCCGGCCGAGTTCCCCACAGGTAGGAAATCTGAAACTGAACCAGAGTTCGGACTTAAAATTGGATCACAATGAAATCATAATAAATGATCTTTTATTGCTTTCAACTTAAATCCTACACATGTGGAGTTTAACATTTACATAACATTCAGTGATTAGGTGAGAATTTGGAGTGTTACAAATACATCCATTTTCAGTACAGAAGATTGTAAATGAACCACGGCAGACCCGATAAGATTTTTATGCTTTTCAGCATACTTTGTTATTACTATTGCTGTTCACAATCACACAGCTGCAGCTTTGCAGCTTGCAGTCATACACCTACCAACAACAACAACAAGGCGGGATTGCGGATGCTGCTCAGGTGTGTCCGCCTCCCCTGCAGCGGCCCTGCAAACCACGCCCGCCACAAAGATGTTGCCCTAAAATGCTTGTTTTAAATCATAATTGTACGTACCAAAGTTACCAAAACATGTAAATGGCCCAGCTTTTATTGCTAGTTGTGTCAGCTTTAGCATCAAAGCTGCAACCGACACCTCCGATAATCAAAGATCGGCCTCTGCATGGCTGCTGTGGAAATTTTTGCAGAACTGCATAGTGGATGCACACTGGATCTGTTGTTTTCTCAGTTCACGCTGCAGCATGTCAGTAGGGTTCAAGTCTTGACTTTGACTTCACCATAAGTTTAGTTTATTGCTTTTAAGCCGTTCACAGGGGGGGTAATTCTTGTGTTCAGGATCACTGCACCACTGCATACCCCAGAGTGACAGACTGATGACCTGCCATTGTCCCCACTGTCACTGTCAGAGACTTTCTTTAAGGGAGCAGAATTCATGTTTTCTGCAATAATCACAAGTCGGCCTGTAGCAACATAGCATCTCCACTTTATACAGCTTCCCTCAGCTTTGACCGTTGGTAGAATGATTTGTTTGTCTTTGTTTGGTTTATGCAAACTGTGATGAGACTCTTGGCCTCGAACAAATCCATAGAGTATTCTTCCAAAAGGTTTTGTTGATGCAAAATTAATAAAAGCCTTAATGTACTGTTGGGATAGCACTGATTTTCACTTTACCACTTCTTGTTGCCATTTTAGCCCAGAGCCTTCAGGTTAGCAGAGTAATAAACTGACCTTTGTTGAGTTTAGACGTGACTTTCTTTGGATGTTTTTGTTGGGTTGTTTGAGACTTTCCAGAAGTTGTCACTGTATTAGAGGAATTCTGGAAGGTCAAGCACCTCTTTGAAAGTTCAATCTTGTTTCAAAATCTTCTTTTATAGATAAATCCTTTGTGGACGTGCCTTAGAAATAGTCTCATAAACCTTTCCAGAAAGATACTTCAATCACATTTTTTTCCTTGTCTCATGTCTTTTGGCACACTGTGCTAATGTTGAAACTTGAATCGGGACTGGCAATGTATATTGTGCAGACTATATATATGAAAGTTAAAGATGGCCACTCAAATGAGGCAAAGAGTTTCCCCGCCCATTGACGTCCTTACAAGTTGACAGCCTGAGGACTCGCCCCCTGCTGGCACTTAGAAAGAACACAAGCTTTAATTTCTTCATTTGCTTCATTTTTCATAAGAAGAAGAAGCTGCAGCCGAGCTGTGGTATATACTGCACCACATTACAGAAAAGCGTTTTGTTTCATTTCCAAAACAGTGATAATGATATAGTAAACTTCTTTTAGATCGGTCCTAAAACCGACTCTCTGTATTTGAAAATCATAATGATCCGAGTAGAAACAAAACCAAAGACGGACACAGACAGAACCACTGAAAAGCTATTCCTTAAATTTTCTTTCCAGTTCACTGTTGGATTGTTTTGTAAGACAAACTGACCTTTTCTAACAAGAAATGAGGAAGCCTCTTTTCTCCACAGCACCACCGGAGGTAACCTTTTCAGGTCAAATGTGAAACCAAAGTGATGTCTAAGTTGGGGCACATTAAAACACTCAACCTGCTCACGCAATTTGTCAGGCAAACCTGTCAGGCTGACTCATCGAAAACGACACTCAGCGCTTGGGGGTGGACAGACACTTTTTAGAAAGGCCATCTCTCAGTGGGAATCAAACCTTTAACTGTTAGTGATGTCCCCACCGTGCTAACTAATGGAACTTTCCTCAACTTTTGGCTCTCTGTGGGAGAGAAAACTGTAGAGGAGGTAGTATATCTAAGCTAGACGTATGAGCGCTGTAATTTGTTGGTGTTTGGCTGGTTGATTTACAACGGACGGGTGAAATTACACTGCCGCCTGTTCTCAGCAGTTTCTGGGAAATGGTTTTCCAGGCGGAACCTGAGACCGTTGTCCCGTTCAGGCACCGTAACTCAAACCTTTTACCTCTGTTCCCCTATTGGCACCCACAGATGATTTACTCTTGAGTGGGAGCTAGGAGTGTGTTTGCAGGCCGGTTTGTATGTGTGTGTGTGTGTGTGCTTTTGTTTTTGTTTCAGTGTGTGATGTCTATGTGCATTTGTCTGTGAAAGTTACGATTGGTTCAGGGTTTAATTTGCATGAGAAAATAATGAGCGAATGTAATCAAATGGGTTGTGTGTTTGCGCACTGCCGTGTACTTCATATGGTGAAGGACGACCGGTGTTTACTCGTTGGACAGGGTGAACCAAATTCTGTGCGCGTTTGTGTCCGTGCGTGTGCGTTTGTGTCACTCTGTCTGTTACAAATTAGGGTTCCACTCTATAAAGTTTGATATATCACCGTATCAGTTATGTAAATCACACAACAACGTCCCTCTTGATTTATGTTGCCGCTGAGATAATCGCGTCTCGCTCATGTACCGCCTGGATGATTGCAAAGTAGAGCTGCGTCGATGGACACACACAAAACTCTTTCAGTTAACACTCAATTATCATGACATGACTCACATGGGACAAAATGACACATTTCAGGCTAAATGTCGTCCTCCTGTTTCGTGCGTGATGAACAGGATACAGAATGTGCCAAAATAACCGCACAGAATTCTCAAAGTAAGACGACTTTTTATGACGTCGCTTGTGTCAAAAACATGATTATTTAGATCATACCTTTACTTAAAATGTCATTAATACAGTGTTTTAAGACAGCATGCAAAGAAACCATGAGTATCCAGATGGCCAAGCTTTGATTCACAGCTCTTCTCCTGTAGGATCTGTGCTTGTTCGTGCTGCTCCTGCCAGAAATATGAAAGTGATGGTTGGCTGATGAGTTTCCTTTAAACAGCTTCAGCAGTGACAGTCTGTAAAACCTGTACTGAGAACAGCCTCACCTTTCTAATCACTAAAATGCTAAAGCTTTCCAAATGCCTCTGCTTTGTGGTTTTGTCTTGAAGTGCAAAAACGTAGAAGAATAGCATCAAAATCCTAGCAGCCTAAGAAAGTTAGCAACTGTTAACTCTATATTGCCCTGACAGATATTTATCAGCTTGATGACATATTGGCCTATAACAAACACGAGTCTACATATGACAACATATGAGTTGTCCAGAAAGACGCCAATTTAAAAACGTTATTTTTTTCTGGAGTGAAGCAGGGAAGAGGGGAGAGAAGGGAAGACATGCAGCAAAGGACTGCAGGTCAGACTCGAACCCGGGCCTACTGCTCTCTGGTCAATACTTCCAGGCATGTAGACACGTGTAAGAAGATCCGCTGAAGTTCTGAATATCTGAATGGGGATAAAAAGGTCATTTCAGTGACCGAACGTGGCGTAGTTGTTGTTGTCAGAAATTGCTGATCCACTGGGATTTTCCCACACAACCATCTCTAGGGTTTACAGAGAATGGCCTAAAAAGTGATCGAGTAAACAGGTTTTCTGAAGGTGAAAATGAAAATAACCCCTCATTACAGCCGAGGTATTCATATAAACACAAAACACATTAAATCTTGAAGCAGATGGGCTTCAACAGCAGCTAAGAGCAGGAAACTGAGGTTATTGTTTTCACAGACTCACCAAAATTGCACAATAGGAGTTTGGAAAAACACCGTCTGGTCTGATGAGTCTCGATCTTTCTTAAGGTATTCCATGTGAGAGTCAGCTTTCATACCGTTTAGGTATGAAAACATGGATCCACCCACGTTGTATCAGTGGTTCAGGCTCGTGGTGTTGGTGGAAATGGTGTTGGGGACGTCTTAGTTCCAATTAAGCATTACTTCAATGTCACAGCCTGCCTAATTATTGTTGCTGACCATGTCCATGGATGCTTTGTCACCATGTGACAAAGCTGAAACCATATCAGTCTGGTTTCTGAGTTTACTCAGTGCCTTGAATCTATGAGGAATTAAGCAGCTCTGAACACAAAAGATGATCCAACCTGGGACTAGCAAGGTGTACCTAATAATGCAGCTAGTGTGTGTATGTAGGACATGCTTGCATGTTTGTTTGTGGCATCAGTTGGGATAGTTCTGGAAAAACCAACATGCCTTGTGTAAGCATCGAGATCAGAAAAGCCAAATTAAGCCTGCAGCAAGTGGCAGTCAAGCGCACCAACTTCTGAATCAGCACAGAGTGAAATGACACCGCGACACCGCATGTGACTGTTGGTTTCGCTGGTTGTGTCCTCTGTGGACTCTGGCGGTTCAGGGTTCACCAGGAGGTGCATGCTAGCTGTGGGCCTAATTTACTTACAAGGCACACTTAATAATTTGCACCGTGTGTGATGAAGAGCCTCCAAATCTCACGGGTAATTCCGCTGATCCCTTCCTTAAGTAGCGTTTTGGGAAACCATCTCTTCACCCACTCCTTCTTCCTTCTTGCTTCTCTATATTTTGCTGCTGTTCCCTCACTTTTCTGTTTTTTTCTTCTGTGTTACTATTTCAGCCTCCTCTGACTTGCTCCCAAGTCTCAGCTCCCTTCATCTTCCTGTGTTTCTTGAGTCTGTATCTTTGTGTCTCTGCTGCTGCCTGACTTTCTCTCTCTTCTGCTCATTCTGTCACTCTTTCCCCTCCTCTTCCCTCTCAGCTCTTTCTCTCCTACTAACAGCCTTTCTGTCTCTTTTTTCCCTTGATCAAAGTTGCACACTACTGCCACACACACTGTGTTAATGTAACCACCCAGTCTGACATCACTGGCATTAATAAACTGTTTCCAGAAATATCTGCTGTTATGCTTTCCGATCAGTTTGCTTATTGTGGATGCGTTTTGTCTGCAGTGTGATTTAGGTTGTATGTGTGAGAGGGAGATGTCCTGCCACATTGTAATACCTTGTTACACGCCCAAAAGAGAGCTGCGACAATAAGACATGAAATCGTCCGCCCGCGTGCTCCCGACACACACGTCTCGCCTATGTCTTCCTGGGAAGAAAGTCGCGCCCTTAAAGCAATAAAAAGTCAAGCATGTAAAAAGGAACGGGGAACGGAGCGAGTGGTGAGAAAGTGTCGACAATGTGTGACATGAGATGTGGTCCTGAAGGGCCCGAGCTGTCAGTGCAGAGGCCCCGTGAGGAAGGCAGGTTGCCAGGCTGCCTGTCTATTTCTGCACGCTGACATGGTAGCGGGCTGGCTGACATGTGGTCATACATTGTCAGATAGATGCAGACCTGCTGATGGACAGAAAGATGGACAGATTAAATAGAAGAGAGTCAGATAAATTACAAGCTTACAAACCCTGAGAGCTTGAACCCAGGGGGCCTCTAATGGCTCCTAAACAATCAGCTGTTGGCTGTTTTCAGAAGTCATAAAGGCATTTTTGTAGCCAATTTTAAACGCGGAGGTAGTTAAGACTTTTGACTTGAAAGGTTTGAGCGTTAAATTGTTTGTTCGGCAATGCCTACCACTGCTTCAGCCACTGCTGTCACACCTTCTCTAACATGACCACCGAACACAGAAACGCTTGCTTTTTTCTTAAAAGAAAAAAAAAAGATTTCCATGTTTGCATGTTTGCTGATTGGATCCTTTTAGTAATAATTGGATGGTGAACATTTTAACTTTACACCACCCAATTAATATTAAACTTACACCTGCTCCAACTTTGAACTGTAACCTAAGCCAAGAAGGCATGAAATTGTTACCAAATGATGCTCCAAAATGAATCCTTGTGTACCGTGCTTAAGGACAATCCCCTTGTTAAATCCAGCATGATGAAGTCCTGAACCGCTGAACACGGGAACTTAATGACTGGTCATTAAAAAGAGATAAAGATTTATTGCTGGGAAACATGCACCATGAGTAATCAATTAATGATGACTATTAGTCATGGGTTTATTGTAATTAAAATTGAATATTGTAATGGATTTTATTGCCAATAACAGCTGTTTAACCCCTTAGCAGTCCTACAAATTTACAATTAGTCCCCTAAACCATCCAATGTACCGTGGGCGGTACGTCCGACTGCTAACAGGTTAATATCAGTGAAACTCATTTTCATAGCATCTGTGTTTAATACATCCCAAAGAGCCTAACAGTAAGTTAATGCCTTTTTTTAAACAAAAAATGTAACATTAAGAAAATATTTTCACATTCATGCAAGTTATTGTCGGGTTTTTAGGATACCTACAGGAAATTTTGTGTTTGCGATTCGCTGCCTGCCACCAGGCTGTCCTCAGCCTCGAGAATGCTTCGAATACCTACAGAGAAGGACGTGGTGGAGGAACGACAGGTATCCTGGCAAACAGCTGAATGGGCTGATGGGCACTTGGAAGGGCATCGGGAGAGATGGGCATGGAGGCACACAGACAGAGAGACCTGCAAATAAATGTTCCTAAACATTTGACAGATTGTCAAATGCGAACAGGAGTCGGGCAGACAGAAGGACAGATAAGCAGGTGTGCGGAGAGTGCAAAGGCCGACAAACAGACCGTACAGAACGTACTTTAAACAGACAGATGGACAAACACAGCAAGATGATAGACTCTTAGTCAGTCAGAATGGGAGTGCTATTCATCTGCTCCCTGAGTCACTACGTAGTGTATGCTCTGTCTCTTGGAGTGTGTTCAAAGCATGTACACTCTATATATCCTAGCACACTGATCCCCCTGTCTCCCCGGTTTAGTTTCCTCCATCTGTCCGTCTCGCTGTGTCTTCACTTTCCTCCGTAGAATCACTCCTTCCCTTCTCACCTCCCTTTAAAACAAAAAACCCCTCATCTACCTTCTTTCTGCATTTCCTCTAAACGATCTCTCTCCTCTTCTTGCTTCCAGGCCTGCTCTCTGTCTCCTATGATGAATGGGACTACGGCTTAGAGGCGCGGGTTCGCGATGGTGTGGCGATCATCACTATGGCGACTTCTACCATGATGATGGACCGCGGGCCTCACACCCTCTTGAAGTCTCAGTGCCACGGAGCTCCTGACAGAAAGACCCCCATCTCAGGCAACCCCAACGAAGTGCTCAGGTGAGTGAAGGTGGAGAGGGCGTAGCATGTCAGAGCAGCATGATCACACTTAATGGACCCTGGTGAGCAGTCTCAGTTAGTTTATCTGGTTTCGTCGGCACTTATAGTATTGCACGCAAAGCAACACTGTGACATTTAGATGTACGATTCGAGGGTCTTTGTTGTCATTATGCAAGGATAACGAAATTATAGTTTTATTTTCATTTTTCTACATTTGTGACACAACTTCCAGTGACGCTGGAAATAATTAGAGTCCGTCTGCTATCAGTTTACAATGAATGGAGTCGAGTTGGCAATGGCATGCAGTCTGTTGCGGTGATTAACACAGTGAATTAAATCAGTGAAAATCACAAGTCTGTTGCTGTCTGCATATACAGAAATTTGCATTAATCACAAATTCACATTAGCCACTTATACTCAGAGTCCAGCCAGAAACCGAATTTCATGCCCCTTTACTGTTACCTGGACAAATACCTGTTAGTTAACAGAAGTCTGAGATTGAACTATGATCTGGCACATCTTCATCCAGTTCTGAAACCGCAAAAAAACTTTTAAGCAGGGAAAACAAAAAGATTAAGTAGCATTAAGTGACATCTTGGATCTTACTTTTATTAATCACAGAGCTTCTGGTGGTGTGGTTTGCGTTCTTTATCAGTAAGCCTGCTTTCCCATAAAACGTTCAGCTCTCTGCTGGATGTTGCCACTTGCGCGCTGCTTGAATATGTCATTCTGCAGTAGTCTCGGTGTTCTCTAGGAACCACGATCCTTTTCCTTTGCTTTCTGCCCTGCAGCAAGCCGGCACATATCTCACGAAAACCAGCTCTGTGGTGCAAACCATACACTTCTGTACAATATGTTTAAAGCTGTTTATTCACGCTAATGTGTCTGAGTTGATGTGGGAGTCATTTGTGGATGTTGCTTTAAAATTGCAACGTTCTGGTGGTCTAACATCCCCACGATCACCATGGCACCGTCATCATTGGTGCAGCAGATGTTGCAGCACGTGCGTGTTAGCATCTCCATCCCCTGCACGCTGTGATCATCCTCCCCCCACGTAATAATACCCTACGCACAAACACCCCTTCACATGCTGCCATCTTCAGGAAAACCGACCCCACCCCTTCAGCTGTCCGTCCCAGCAGCAGGCCTTTTGAACTGGATGTGAAGCCTAGCGTTGGGCTGCGCTTTGCTCTGCGCGCCGCCTAATTGGTCCCAATGGCGTTTCAGTCGGCGAACACTGTCCCCTGTCGTGCTGCGCTCCAGAGCTCAGCGCAGCATTATATTCAGTGGTGGTTTCACCCCTCCGCGACTCTGCGCGTCTGCTGGAGATAGATGTGCGTGGGTATGTGTGTTTTTATTGCCCTAAAGAGAGACCAACTGTCAAGGAAAGCCACGTGTGCATGTGTGCACAGGTGTCGTACAGGGCAGCATATGTGTGTATGCTTGCTAAAGAGACTGTCAGTATCGCTTCAGGACACCGGTGGCAGATCACAGACACTTGCACAGAAAACGAAATGCACTGACCCCTTTTGGCTGATTCAGACAGATGTATAGATGCACAAATAGTCTTTTTCTGCCTTCTCCTGCAATTTTTCTGCTGAATGCAAGCACGCATACATCCCGAAATACTCTTCTCACGCTCATAAGACGCCAGAGAAACGTGGAGCCTACTGTGGAAACTCGGGCTCTTCTTTTGGGATGTGTGTAATTTTTTTGCTCATGGTCAAGCTTAACTGCATCCTGCTCAAAGGCAACAAAACTTTGTTGTCCAGTCAACTCTTTGGATGTCATTTCAGCCCCTGCCTGTTGTTCTCTCCTTTCTGAACCTTTTGCATTTGTTTCACCACTGCTTACTGCTTTGAGATAACAGTGGTGTTTATGGCAGCTGCTCTTGCCCCAGAATACAACCCCCTCCTCTCTCTTCTGTTCATGTGTTTGCCTCGCTGTGGTCTGCTGCGCACTGCTTTGTTCTTCTCAACTCTGCTGTGGTCTCTCTGCCGCGTTCTCTCTGCTCTGCTCGGCTGTCCTCTCGCGCCCCGTAGTCTTCTGTTTTTGTTCTGCCCTGCTCTGCTTTTTTTTCCCTACATCTGCTCTGCTTTGTTCTACTTTTATTCTGTTCTGTGGAGGGCTGCTCTACCGTTTTATCTTCTCACACCTCCTCGCCTCTCCTCTTGTCTCCTCGCCTCTCTTCTCTAGTGATTTTTCCTCTCATCTCTACCGTTCTGCTCCTCCCTAGTTGGTGCCTGCGCTGCGGACCTGCAGTTTTATAATCAACTTAGCTGTGTTGTTGATTAGATCAGTTGCAAACACTGCTAAGATCCTTTGCCCCTTTTCTGCTTTAACTAAATTTGTCTGGTGATAACCTTTGTCTTCAAGTGTTCAATCAAGAGATTAGCATTTGGCCTAGAGTCTATATATTAGAAAGTGAACGAACACCTAGTTGCCCGGCTTGCGTGGCTGCTTGGCTGCATGGACCGATGCCCACCCGCTCGATTCGTTCACTACTAAGTGAGTCAACGAATGAAAGATGGATGGGCGGCAGCTCAATCAAAAAGCTCTTTCCTGCGCCTGGGAAGCCTTACATTTTGTGTTCTCTCCAGTGAATACAAACTCCATTTGTAAAAATTTCAAGCAGACCTTTAAAGTAAATCATTAATAAATCAAGCAGGGGCACAATTAATTCTAAGCTGTCGAAAATGGCATTTAGCAGCTAAACCTGAAAATGAAGCTGTCATCTCAACATATTAAGCTGGAAAAACATCCATGGAAAATGGACCAATCAGAAACTGATTCACTGATCAATATAGGTCCCGAGCTTGCCCCACTGCTAAGTCACAATCCACATGTGCCAATCTGAAACATTTAGGTAAATAAACTAACTATTAGTGCTATAAAATTGGGTGCTTTAATGTTTACACACACACACGCTACAGATTTTACTTGTAAACCCATATTTTTTACTGTGATCTACGGTGGCCCTGAGAGGTCAAACATACTTAAGAAAACAGCAGCAAATAGAAAAGTGCAGCAAAACACACGAACCACAACGGAAATAGAAAAATACACAGCAAACGCTCACAAAAACCAAAAACAATCTCACAAAACACAACAGAAGTGTTTTTAGGGACACAAGAATGTGTCGGACCAGCTGCAGAAGTGAAGCTAACAGTAAGCAAACATGCTAACAGCAAACATGTATCTACAGCAGGGGTGGGCAATCTCAGTCCACGAGGGCCGGTGTCCCTGCAGGTTTTAGATCTCACCTTGGGTCAACACACCTGAATCACATGATTAGTTCGTTACCAGGCCTCTGGAGAACTTCAGGACATGTTGAGGAGCTAATTTAGCCATTTAAATCAGCTGTGTTGGTTCGAGGACACATCTAAAACCTGCAGGGACACCGGCCCTCGTGGACTGAGATTGCTCACCCCTGATCTACTGTATTATATGACAACACAGATGAATCCTCAGCTTCTTTTCTCCACGTGATCCTTTGCATTTCTTAGTTTCTGGTACATTATAAACCACGGCCGCTGCAGATAGCCTACAGGGTAGAAGTTCTCAAGTTGGGGATCTCAGGTTTAAAGAGTGGTAGCAAGTAGCGAGAAGTACCTGTACCTTCTTCTTGCTTTAGATATATTCCACAACATTTTTTTAGGATGTCTTTGAAGTGCGTGATTAAGAATCTGAAGCAGATGGTGAAGAAATCAAGGAAGGACGCTGGCAGTTATCCATTTTTAAACCTTCTTAAAAGCCGATGATTATATGGAAATACATATGTCCCAAAGTACGAGTGAAAAATTTGTATTGTAGCTCCAACACAAGTTGGTCCAGCTTGTGGATTATACACGAGCTAGGTCAGTAAGAGATGCATGGGAATATGTAAATTGAATCTAGTTTACATTTCAATCTGCTGGTGAATGAGGAAGACTGACTCTAAGGTCACGGTCATCTACTCGAATTTATAAGCCATACATTAGCATTTTCTTGTTCGGCCCTCAGTGCCTCATAGAATACCACAAGAGAAGGACGCGTCACTCCACTAAGTAAATTAAGTCCATTGTAGCCAGCGCTGTGACATTCCAGCTAATTCTACAGCATGAGCCTGACAAATGAAGATAGCAGGAAGGGGAAGAAGAAGAGTGCAAAGCACAGAGGAGAGGGAGGGACAGAGCGAGGGAGAGGTGGCAGTAGAGGCCAGCAGCGAGCAATACACAACAGTGTGAGAATCATGAGTTTGACAACACTGGCCCTGACCTTGCCAGGCGTGGACAGGTTCCAGATGAGGTTGGTCTTGGAAAGGTGTCAAGTGCTTTTAAGCTCCGTGGGCATTTTTGAACTTCTGTGGCCTCAGTAAGGCTTTCAATATGGGGTGTATATATATATATATATTTAAGCACATACACGTGTGCATGTCAGTGTGTTGGTGTGTGCTTGCATGCATGCTCTGGATACAGAACAATCTGCAGTTGCATTTTGACCCTGTTGCGCTGAGAAATGCCAACTCAATGGGACCGGTGTGTCCGTGTCCGACTCAGTGTTTGCGCGTGTCTTTGTGTGCATGTGCGTGTGAGTCTGTGGAGCCCAGCTGGATGTGTGTGTTTATGGGGCAGGCAGTGGGAGGTGGCAGATAGGTACCTGTTTTTGATGGGGCTTGATTGGAAGTAGGTCAGGAATCCTCTCTCCTCTTTCTTCCATCTCCCGTCTCTCCATCTTTATTGCCTTGCTCCTCCTAAATCTTTTCATCTGTCCTGTCACTAAACCTCTTTTTGTCTGCCAGGTTTATCCAGTCCTCTGCTTTTCTGTGTTTCTTATTTTATCTCACATAATCTTTTCCTTTCCCCAGTATTTTTTATTACATCCTTCTCGCTCTTTTTCCCTCCCCTCTGCTGCATCCCATCTTCACCTACCTCCTTTTTGCTGCAGGCTATTATAATTTTCAATTTGTATAGCAGTACAGTACATAGGTTTGTCTTTTAAGGTTTTTGAAGTTTTATTCC